TCTCCCACTCTATACAATCTCCAACTACAGATTTTTAAACAATACAATTTTGAGCGATTTCAATTTTTTTGTTTTTTGCCTCTCACGCCTCCAACACTGGACCGAGTTCCAAAAACTGTAAAGCTCTTTTGTCTTTGGTATAGTAGTTATCTCGTATGAACATTTCATCAAAATCAGACCGGTACTTTTCAAGTTATAATTAGGTCAAAGATTAACGGACAAATAGATCGCAAAGACAGACCGACAGAGAGACCGACAGACAAGCCGACATACAGACCAACAGACAGACAGACCGACTGACAGACAGACCGACAGACAGACTAACAGAAATGAGTGACTTGGTGTTTTGTGATTGTCACCCATTCGGCAAGACAAAAAAGCATATTTAACAACAAAGGAATAATTCTAAGGAGCTGTGGTCAGAGAGACATCGGGAAAAACAACTATACCTGACCATTTTAATGACCCTGACAGAATTAATCAATATTTTATAACAGGTTACGACACTGTCTTTATTCCAGATGATGTCTACAAGTACTATAATGATAATGAATTTTGCTATGGTACATTTTCTTTTACTCTCTTAGAACCTAGTGATGTTTACAAGATCTTTGAACCTATCAAATTAGAAGGATTTGAGTATTTCGATTGTCAATCTCAGTTTGCCTGTAACATTGCTATTTGTCACGCACATCATTAACAGATGCATTGAAAAATATATTCCCGATGCGTGGAGAACAGCCATAGTAGTTCCTGTACCTAAAATTAGCAATCCAGATGACCTTTCTGACTTTGTCAGTTATTTCAGAAATTTTAGAAAAAGCTATACAGTACCTAGTTTTGAAATATGTCGAGGAAAACAATATATGCCGTCAAACCAATCAGGTTTCCGCAATAATTACAGCTCTACCTTTTAATTAAATACCTGTGATAATCTTCAGACCTTTAGACAAAAAGCTGAGTGTAATTATTTTGTTCATTGATTACTCTAAAACTTTCGATAAAATCAACCACAGTTTGATGTTTTCCAAGCTAAGATACTATGACTTCGATCAAAAAGCGAATAGTTTTTTTAGAAGTTACCTAGAAAATTGTATTCAATGTGTTTCTTTAAACATATCCAAAGCATGAGAAAATTACGTGTCGTGTACCCCAAGAATCGGTTCTTGGCCGGCTAGTTTGTCTTTTATGTACCGTTGACTTGCCAAGAAATGTCAACAACTCGGAGATACAATCCTTTGCCGATTATTCGAAGCCCCTTCACTACTTTGATATCGATAATATCCACTAATTCAAGTCCTGATATTGAAAGGCTGTATCAATTTTCAAAATCTCACAATCGTGTCAGTATTATTGGTAAATATTGATATAGAAAAAATAAATTTCTCTCCGTGTACAAAAATGTTTCTGTCTACCAAAGGCTTAGGTTCACAGACCACTTAAAGAATCTGCTAAAGAAATCATACCTGCGACTCAGTGCTTTATATGCTAACAAGTTTATCCTCAGCTTCAAATTGAGGAAAACACTCTGCGACCCACTTGAAATACCAGTTCTTACCTACTGTAACATTTTGCTTACATCGGAACCTCTATATCTTGAAGAAAAATTAATTCTAAGAGGTAGTGTGCATAATAGAACCAACAAGCATAGAAGCACAATCACGATCCCCACCGTAATTAATCTTTATTCAAGCGCAGTTTCACTTACAATGCTGCTAGTATTCATATCAACATTGATGCTAAATCTAAAGTAATGCCCTTAACGGGGCTCCTACAATCACGAGCACCATCTGCTGAGGAACGGGGAGGTGAAAAGGAAACGAGGGTAGGCTGGCCCTAGACGGTCGTCGGCGCTACTTTAAAAGAGATGACTGCGGGTGCATACCAAGGTAAATTTTTATAATAACAGAGTCGGATTTCGATTAGCGATCTAGAATGTAAATAGTTTCTTATTTTGTTACTCAGCAAGTGATCATTTAGTATTTTTCTCCCCTTGTTACTGTTCGACGATATTGTGTTGTTGAATTGTTGTTGGTGTGATAGTTCTTGAGTGCCTTTTTTATCAAGGCTGATAATGGACATTAAATGGTCATATGCGACCATTATAATTACGAATGCAGTGAGTTTAATTCATGCCACAATACCCAGCGGCCTGTATATGTGGTTGTGGTCTAAATACATTTGCGTTCTAAGCTTAGTCCAGCCTCGCTTATCGCTAAGATGGAACAAAGACTCAAACGCAAGAATCTTGAAAAGAAACTCGGACCAAAAAAAAGCTGATATAAAAATAACTAACAATTCGGATAGCAATTCCAAAGAAAATGAATAGTTTTATGGCGAATTCAATCAAAAACCTGACATTAACTACATTGATTTGGAGGTTGCTAAGCGAAAATTTTTAGGAAAACTTAAAAAAAGTCACGACGAGATTTTGCAGATCGAACAAGTCACCAAATCACAGGACTGTACTTTGTCGCGCCTTCATCGGAGGATAAGTTTGACAGCGTCTCGATTTGGTGAAGTTTGTTGAAGAAGGCAGACAACAAGCTGTAAAGTTCTAGTAAACTCCATCATATACCCAAAAGAGTTTTCTTGTAAGGCAATAAAAAGGCAATACAAAAATCATTGGACACCGCCGTTCAGTCTTGTGGTTTGTTTATTGATCACACACATCCATTTCTGGTAGCATCGCCTCCATCTATCTATTACAGTAGACAAGAAATGTGCTTAATTCAGGTATAAGCCTACCTGTTTATTGCTTTGCAAAAACTACCTAACTGTTTCCTCTTATTTTGAGGGCATAAGATATTTTTATGACCCCCATTCAATTCTTACCATGTACATGACATGAATAAACGAATTTTAATTTGAGTTCTTGAATTTATTTTAGTAGGAAAGATATCAAATTATTTGAATACATTTTTTCTTAGTCGGAACGCACCGTCGCGTCGCTGGCAGGACGAAACAGTAGACGAATTTCGCCCAAAAACCGATTTGTACTTCACAGCTTACGTTTCATTTTATATTATTTCCAAATGAAACTCTTGCAGCGTGCTAAAAACAAAGTCCACAGAGTGCTAACGAACCACTTTTTCGATTTTATCCACTAGGATCTTTTTGAAATATCAAGAAGTTGAGCACAAATAGTAAGCATTTCAACCCTCCATAATTTGACAAAATTTTGTAAAAAGCTCTGGTAGCACCTTAGGCAATTATGTCCTGCTTATATCCAGAAAAACATCACAAACTGCAGAACACAAATTGAAGGTAACGGCGAAATGGGTACATTTCACGGGTCATGAAATTCAAATGAAAACGCAGGTATAAAATCTACCAAATTATCGTTCTCAAAAACATATTTCCTTGGCATATCGATAATTTTAAAGTTCCACGCTAAATTCCCCTATACTTGACTGGAGTGATATCCGAATTCATTCTTCCCTACTGTCGGCAGTTGCAGATAGATCTGTTGGCTCTTGGTGTCAAACTTATAGAGCAGGTACCGATTTTTTCAAATCGTGAGCACATTATTCGTCGGATTTTCATTACTGAAATGTCCTGTAATCACTGGGATCAGAAGCTTCTTAATAATAGAACGTGTTTCACTGATATCAAAGATGCAACATTTGGAATTACCTACCCCCAACCCCCACTTTTTAAGCAGTACAATTTTTTTCTGTCAATGATAAGGAACCCTTGTAACGTCAAAAACGGAGTTTCGGCAATTGTTACTTTTTCTTTTTTGTCTATAGCACCGTTGCCACTGGACTAAAACTACAAAGCTTTAGCATACTAGTAACCCCGTGTCGAAATTGCATAAAAATCCGAGCGGTTATTTCCAAGTTGATGAGTGACACAGTTTTTCGTGATGTAGATATCATATGACTTAAAAAAATATAACATCTCATTTTAGAAATTTTTCGCGATTACAATACTTCCTCGCCAACGTGGGAAGTAAAACGGCTTTAAAATCGATGAGTATCAGCGATCGCGATTATGAGTACCTATTTGCAGAACGACTTATCTACGCGATATTATATGAAATAGGGCCACCAAATTATTTGAATACGTCCTTCTTAGTCCGTACATTGCGCCGCAACACTTGGGTTGGCAGCACGAAACAGTAGACAAAATTCGTCCAAAATACGATTTGTAGAGGTTTGCGCGCTTCGAAATTGACGCTTTATTTTTTGATATTTTTGGATGAAATTTTCACAGAGTGCTGAAAACAAAACCCCACAGGGTGCTACAAAGCCACGTTTTCACTTTTTTCACTAGGTTATTTTTAAAAAAATCGCGAAGTTGAACAGAAAAAGTGCGCACTTCAACCCATTATAAAACTTGTGCAAAAACAAAATTTCAAAAAGTGCTCCTCCAGCAGCCTAGGCAATTATCTTCTCAACATACTGTGTGAATTTCAGTCAAAAATATTGAAAAATGGAGTGTCAGTTTTGCAGCAGCTAAACCCTTGTAAATGGCTTGAAACTCACTGCGTCGGAGCCGCCTTAAACCAATTTAAGAAATATATCAAAGGTTTATTATTAATGAGTCATAGTGGAACACACTATGCATAGTCATTGCATAATATCTATGCGCAACATTTGCCTTATGCAATCTTTTTTCTTTATTTTTATTTTTCGCAACAATTTATAATTTGTACCAGGTTCTATTTTGCCAATTATGTCATATAAGTTACCTGGGATTTTGTTTTTTTTTGTTCTTCTCAAATCATCGAATACCTTTCCGCACTAGTGGTTAAGTGTAAGAATACTAACTTCGGCACTGTTGCTAGATCCGTATGCACTTGCATGTACTCAATAAAGACAGATTCATTATTATTATTAATTTACTCAATGTACAAAGAAACCAACATGAGTAAATAAATATAAAATAAAAACAGGCCCAATAGGAGGCATTGCCTGTGCATGGAGCAACAATTTCAAGCTGCCACTGTAGAATACAAATTACAAGAAAGGGCAAAAATTAGTCACAGTGGATTATGAATTTACTTGATGTTCGTATTTACGAGTCTAAGAATTTCAGTCCTAGATATACGAGGGATGTCTTTTAAGTTTTGCATATGGAAATAAAACAACACAGCAGGTAGTTTTAAATGACTTTATTGTTTTTTGAAGTATTCTCCACGAAGATTAATACACATCTGCATGCGCTCGAACCAATTTTCGAAGCCGTTATTCCACTCGTTTGCTGGCAGATCCAAAACGGCATTTTTGAATGCGTCAACTGCTTCTTCTGGTGACTGGAACCTTTGACCACGCAGTCTGTTTTTAATTTCCGCGAAAGTAAAGAAATCGTTAGGACTTAGATCGGGAATATATGGAGGATGGTCCAATAATTCCACGATTTCTTCCGTTAAATACTGCCTTGTTTTTTGGGCTGTGTGCGAGCTTGCATTGTCTTGGTGGAGGATGATTCTTGTTTCGGGGTTGATTCTTCGAAGCTCCGTGATGACTTTTGGCAAACAAATGATGGTATACCAATCCGCAGTAACAGTTCTTTGCTCATTAAGAGGAATTGTAGGAGTATGACCCTTTTGACACAAAAGTTGCGACCATCTTTTTCGAAACACTTCGAGAACGGATGACTTTTGTTGACTTCTCTTCACCTTGCAACACCCAAACAGCTGTCGTTTATTTTCTGGTTCATAACAGTAAATCCACGATTCCTTAGAACTAACAATGCTGTACACATTTTTTGAGTTTCCTGAATTGAGACGGTCAAGCGTTTTTTTACACCAATTAACCCTGGCTGCTTTCTGCTCGTGAGTCAACAGGTGGGGTATCCAACGAGAAACTAATTTTCTTACTCCTAATTCTTCATGTAAAATTTTTTGAATTGAGGTCTTTGAGATCTTAAAGGACGCCTCAATCTCACGATATGTCACATGTCTATCTTCAATGATGAGTTTGCGCACAGCAGCGACGTTTTACTGGGTGACTGCCGTTTTTGGTGCACCCACTCTGGGATCGTCGCTAAGACTCACCCGTCCACGTTTGAATTCTCCATACCAACGGGAAATTGTCGACTGATGTGGCGCTTCGTTGCCGAAAACAGACAGTAACTCAGCAAGGCATTCTTGTTGCGATAATTATCTCTGAAAGTCGTAATAAATTATGGCGCGAAAATGTTCTCGCTTGAGTTCCATTTTTCTGATGACTTGGTGACACTTAAAAATTCGCTGTAGTGAGAACACTGCACGTATTGTTGTGAAACTTTGAATTTAAGTTTACTAAAGAGTGAGGTTAAGATTCAGTACTGACGTTCGATCCGCGCGGCCTACTATGTTTATATATGCAAAACTTAAAAGAAGGTAGCCATAGGAAGTAGCCATTTTTTTCAAATTTCTTTCGAAATAATTTCCGAAATGTAAATCTTTTAGATCTTTAGGTACAATTTCATAAAATTTTGGCGCTGAATAGAGATATGACCTTTGCATCATAGATTTATGAGGCTGAGGAACTTCTGTGCCACGAATTTTGTACCTTGCATAATGATTATGTTTAATTTTTTGGGCGGTGTTGACAAATTTATGGTAGTGAGTAGTACTGTGTAAGAAATAATCTCGTATATCATAAATATGCGTATAATTCGCCAGTGGGATAAAGTTTCTGTTTTTTAACATCATTTTTAGAATACTTTTTTTGAAAAATATCTAAATTATCAAAAATCAGTGTATAGTGTATAATCTGTGAAGATACCTTTCTGTCAGTATATTCGCAAGGTATTTAATTTTGTATGATACAAATCTAACTTCCTTTAAAATGTAATTGACATGGATGTCCCAACGTAAGTGAAGATCCAATATTATTCCAAGGTATTTTATGTTTGGTACCACATTAATTTGCAGTTTTTGATCATTAATTCTCTGCTATCAAACCACCGAAGAATTTTGACAAAATCATTTTCAATTACATTTTGTAGAACAGACCAGTCCTTGCCTTCATATAATATTGAAGTATCATCTGCAAAACTTGTCATTTTGCCAACACAATTAATTTAAAAAATATCGTTTAAATACATATTATATAACAGTAGACCTGTCCTTGTGGAACACCACACTTAATATATACTTTGAAGTTGAGTCATTAATTTTCAGATAATGATTGTAGAAGGAAGATAAACCAAAATATGTGTGAAAAATAAAAAAAAAATTAAAAAAAAAATGTTACCTTGTTTTATAAAGTATCATCCCGACAAGTATTTCAGTGCGGACCTGTATTTGATCGTGAGGTCTTGGAGCACCGGCATGCCGTCCATATGTGAGGTCTTAAGTCAAATGATTCACGAACCCGTTGTACTACATTAACAAAGGCACGAGGGGTTGGTTGCACTCGATTGGGAAACCGATCCACATAAACATGTAAACATGTGCCATTTTTTATTTCGTTTGAGCCACGCAACAGACACCACTATCCACTACCGACTGACACTGACTGTATACAACTGAATGAAATAATTGTAAAAACATCGTTCCAAATTTTTTCGCTTTTTTGTTTCCGATGCGATGAACCGATAAGGCGAATTATATCCGTTGTCGCCAAACACGAGCACATAATATTATTATTGAGACAGGGCGGTACTCAAACTTCCAAAGGGCTATAACTTTGTTACTTTGAATTTACCAGAAAAATGGTACAGGAAAAAAACATTTCTTTTGATCAGATCTACTCACTGTTAAAATAAATGACTCAACTTCGAAGTCACCCTGTATTTCCTTGCTCAATGATTTTGATATCTGGACCGATTGTGAGCGGTTTGATAGATAATTTTCGATCAATGAGTATGCTTTGCCTCTAAAACCAATTCTCATCAATGTTTCTAATAATAATTTATCATTTACTGTGTCGAAAGCTTGCTTTAAATCAACAAAAATACAAATAGAAGGAATTTCATTGTCAAAATTTTGTATTGGTATACAATTTAGACTATTGAGTGCAATGTATACTTCCCATCTGTAAATCCATATTGATTTTCACTTAAAATGTTGTGCTTTGTGAGGTTTCGAATCATTCTAGTAGATAAAACTTTTGCTATACTGGACATTGTTAATATTGGTCGATAATTACTAACATCTGTTTTTCCCTAATTTATGCATCGGTATTATGTTGCCTTTTTTAAAATTGAGGGATATATGCTGGATTCAAAGAATTTGTTGATTAGGTAAGTGGGTGGTTCTGTTAAGCCCTCGGCTATGATTTTCAAATGCTCGCCTTTAATTCCATCGGACCCATGACTTTTTCGATTTTTGAAGGACATATCAGTGCTGTCTACTCCACATTGCTCTACTTTATCCAAAATAAATGAGAGTGTCGGGCACATTTTCTTCAGCCGAAGGCCGAATGTTGTCCGAAGGAGTATTCTTTGGCCGAGTATGACCGCAGCAGACAGAGTTTCGGTAGTACCCTACTTATAATATTTCAGAGATACCAACGTCAATTTGATGCTAAGCTAAGACTACGGTAGGTTTTTGTAACTCAACATCGGCCGCACGACTCCTCACGATTTTCCAGTTCACCAAATTACTTAGAAGTACCAGATGACATTAGCTTGTAGGGAGAAGGAAGCGGAGACTTAGCTCCTGGATTTTTTTTCTACGTTTCTGTGATCTGGACGAAGACACATTTTAGTTATTTCTTGGTCAAGCTGGGTGTTTTGATTCCTAATCCGTCAACGATTTGACGCTAGAATCCCTAGCAACATCTACCTGAAATTTGGCCATGAAACACTTCTCGACATGTTGGTTGTCCGACTCGTATTCAGCTCCCCAAACTCCCTATTCACACTTATATCAGCCAGTGGCGAATATAGAAGGCACTTTGGGAAGGCAATTCTTAGGTGAACTGTTTATTTATTCAACTCAAAATTTGCAACTAGTAGGTAATTTGCATGTTTTAATTTCAGAATTGGGATGCTTTGAAACTGCAGGATACCGACCTTGGGTTCTAACGTTTTGGCGGTAATTGAACATTTGTTAAGCCGCTAAATATTCAAAAAGTTCCAGCACAGACCCAGATGCACCGTATCATATTTTGTTCTCTCTTTGCTATTAGATATGTGTGACAAATTTTGTTAAAGCTGAAATTCATATCCTATTAAAAAATAGATAACTATTTATTTTGTGATGGGTGACGAAGTGTATATAATAATATTAATCTAATCCTGAAACACAGTATAGTAAATAAATATGAAGTAAGGGTTCATAGAAGGCATTGCCTGTACATGGAGCATTCATGTTGCAATTGTACAAATTTTTGAAATATGTATAGACATACAACTAATCAACGAATTATTTGATCACATCTATCATTAATTTGAATACGTCTGGTCTTGCCAGAGAAATAATCTATTCTTTTGACTTTTTTTGAAATTATTCCCAAAGCGTAGACCCTTTATACCGTCAGGTAAATATACAGGGTGACTTTGAAGTTGAGTCATTAATTTTCAGATAATGATTGTAGAAGGAAGATAAACCAAAATATGTGTGTAAAAATAAAAAAAAAATTAAAAAAAAAGTTACCTTGTTTTATAAAGTATCCTCCCGACAAGTATTTCAGTGCGGCCTGTATTTGATCGTGCGGTCTTGGAGCAGCGGCATGCCCTCCCCTGTGAGGTCTTAAGTCACCTGATTCACGAGCCCTTTGTACTACATTCAGCATTTTCGTAAACATGTGCCATTTTTTATTCACTATTCACTCACGCGTTACCGACTGACACATCGACTGAATAAAACCGAATAAGATTGTACATTGTAGTAAAAACATCGTCTCAAATTCCTTCGCTTTTTTGTTTCCGATGCGATGAACGGATAAGGCGAATTATATCCGTTGTTGCCAAACACGAGTACATAATATTATTATTGAGACAGGGCGGTACTCAAACTTCTAAAGGGCTATAACTTTGTTACTTTAATTTTACCAGAAAAATGTTAAAGGAAAAAAACATTTCTTTTGATCAGATCTACTCACTGTTAAAATAAATGGCTCAACTTCGAAGTATATATAATATATGTATATATAATTTTGGACCTTAATAAAGTTGACTAATAGATTTATTTGGTCTAAGTACAACTGTTCCTCTTAATTTAGTTAAAGCCTTGTGTGGTGATTGTGTTTAATTTGTTGGTCGTTATCGATAAATTTATGATTGTTGGCCTTAGCAAGAGATAAAGCTGTTTTAAGTCATATGCATGTGTATCTTTGTATATGAAATTGTATAAAATATCGAAATCAAGAATATGAGTTGAGTTTGTTCCCCATGCCAATATACCGTAGGTCAAAAATGTGGCTCGATCAAGGTATGGTATAAGGTATAGAGATATTTTTCTTTTAAAATGTTTTTGATATATTTGATTTCATACGATACATATCTAACTTTTTTTATCCCAACGCAAGTGTGGATCCAGGAGTATTCCAAGAAATTTAAATCGGATGTTCTGTTATTTTCTAATTTCTGATTTTGCTATAAAGGAGATGTTTGTGTAATTTGGTAGATGTCTGGAATAGAAAGAAAATGGTTAAAATCTGTTTTAGAGTAATTAATGCTGAATTTTCTGTTGTTAAGTCACTGGATAATTTTGACAAAATCATTTTCAACTATACTTTTCAAATGAAACCAATCATCACCTTTATAAAGAACTGCTGTGGCATCTGTGAAACTTACTATTTTGTACACAGAGTCAATTTGAAATATATCATTTAAATATATATTAAGAAGCCGTGGACCTAAAACGGTTCCCTGTGGAATGTCACATTTGATAACGATCAAGGATCTGTACTTGGACCATTGCTATATTCTTGCTATACATCAATGACACACAAAATTGTCTCCATAACGGTACTAGTAGCAAACCAGTCCTGTATGTCGATTACACTATAACTATACTCTCCCTTCAACTCACATCACCTTATAAAACCTAGACAACGAATCATAAGCGGACATTTAAAACTGGTTTGTTATTAACGGGCTGACATTACATGAAGACAAAACTGAGACAATGAGTATTTCTAAACGGAATTTTGGCACAAATGATAACAACACAAGAACAGTCAAGTTTCTCGGGGTGTGCGTTTATTATTCGTTGACTTGGGACGAGCATGTAAAACATGCTACAAAACCTTTGACAAAAGCTATCTATCTGATAAGAAATCTGAGAAATTCTGTGTCTCAGAAAACACTGCTCACCAGTTAGTTACCATGCGTACTTCCACAGTAGAATGACTGACATCATTTTGGCATGCGGTCATTCTCCACTCATGCCTAGAGTTTTTAGCCTACAGAGAAGATGTGTTAGATATCTGTCAAACTTGAGGTACAGGGATCCTTGCAGGAATAAATTCATTAAATTAAATATCATGACATTGCTTTGTGTATGCATCTATGCTTGCCCCATGCATGTTAAAACTCACTATCACAATTACGAAACTCATCAAGACACTCATGATTACAACATCAGAAACATTTGTATCCAAATTGTCATCGGCTTTCAAAAACTAGACCTGTTGTTAACTACCACGGGTTAAATTTCTAGAACATATTGCCAAATGAAATAAAAGCTGTAGATGTTAAACAACTTGGCAAAACTATTAAATGATTCCTACTGTCTAAAGCTGTTTTGGACATAGAAGACTTCCTTAACTTCAATTTCTTCAGCCTGGCATAATTTTTGTTGTAATTGGTTTCCTTTATAATTTTTTAACCAACTCTATTTATTATTAATCTAAATTTTAACTTTAATTTTATCGACTCTTTATTTAGCTTTTCTTGCCACTTTGTGTTTTATGTTTGTCTCCTTTATGTATTGTTTGTTGTTTTTACTTACTCTTTTATGTTTTATATATTTTAGCTGACCTGTGCAAGGCACGAACGAATTATTATTATTATTTAACCATTTCGTTACTGAAAAATTTTGATCAGAAGATTGCTGTCGGTTGGATAAGTAATTTTCTAGTAATGAGTACATTTTCCCCGAAAGCGAACTGTCTCCTATGCGTCTAACAAAAATGTATGGTTTACTGTGTCGAAAGCTTTTCTTCTATCAACAAAAATACAGAGACAGCGAATTTTGATATCGAGATTTTGGTGTATTTGATTAACAATATCTAATACTGCGTCTGATGTAGACTTCACCTCCGTAAATCCGTATTGGCTTTCACGTAAAATTTGATATTTAGTGAGAAACTGGCAGATATTGTTTTTCCAAGTATTTTTGCTATATTAGAAATCACTGAAATACGTCTATAGTCGTTAATATCTATCCGATGTCGTGATTTATATATTGGTGTTACGATACCTTTCTCCAAAACGGAGGGGTATATAACAGATTAAAAACATAATATTAATTATATATCTCAATGGTTCGGCTATATCCTCGCCTACAATTTTCAGGTGCTCACTTTTATTACCGTTAAATCCTGGGCTTTTGTGATTTTTCAGGGACATAATAATTGTAGAGTATACACGTGGTTCTACTTTGCCTAAGATAATCGAATTTAGCGATCTTTTTGGAACTTGCGTTGAGGGTATATCTTTTGGCAAGTGATTTGCTAAATCTTCACCTATATTGGAAAAAAGGTGTTATAAATTTGTTGCATATTTTTTGGGCATCCTTTATAATTTCTCCCGACTTTGTTTTTAATTCGGTAATAGATTGTTTGGATTGCCTATTTGTATTTTCAGTAACCTCGTTAACAGTAGACCAGAGTCTTCAGCTATAGTTTTTACTAGTATTAATTTTAGTAAGAAGTGCGTGCGCTCTTTTCGTCTCCCTAGTAAGCTCTATTTATTTATTTTTATATTCTTGGGAAAGTTCGACGTTAAGAAACATTACTTTGCATCTTAAGTACAGAAAATTAAGTCTTAGGTGATTTACCAGCCGAGATACATGTTTATTTTTTATCAACATTCATACATTTTTTTATGAATTAGGACGCTTCATAAATACTGAAAAATACTCGATTTTTTCCGTTGCAGAAGTGGAAAGTTACATTATTTTTTCGGAATCGCATGCTTATACTATTTTCACCGAAAACAACGTGTTCACTATACAAGTTTAAAATATAAAACTGTGTAACGTGTTTCAGGTAAGCACGCAAACCAATATGTCGTTTTTTCTCACCCCCACCACTATCTACTCCTTACCTTCATGACTGCTAGGAAATAAACAGTCTCCGACACCTTCGGTCTACCCACGACCTATTTACAGATAATAAATTCATTGAAAATCACACATACCCACGCCTTCAGCAAACGTTTTCCGAGCATAATTGTTTTCTAGAGTTCGGGCACGGGTTGATCAGAAAATACTGGACAGCTTATTTACATAATTGTTTTAAGTAAATGCTTTGATTTACTCTTTAGTACTTCATCTACCGAAAAATTTCGCACAATTCTACCAAAAGGGTTTCGAAGATATTTGTCTATCATTCCAAGTTTAAGGCTAAATTGTAGGACAGCTGATAAAAAATTAGCATGTATCTCACTAAGGCTCGTATCGTCAAATTGTTGAAGGAAAGAAAGGAGTATGACAATCAATGAGGCCATAAACGCGCCCTACCATTGTAGGGACGACTGACGATACGGGCCTAAAACATCTCAAAAGACTTGTTCTCCTATTTTCAAGAGACAAAGTCTCGTTTCTTTCCATATGTTTTGTGAACCATCACAAAATAAACATTTATTTATATATGATATTCATACGATACGAAATACCTAAGGTTGAAGAAAACAGGTTTAAAAATGGCAAAAATGATAAAAATAACTTACAAATCTTAACTATATTTTAATTTGTAATACATGTAGACTAAAATTTGGTATCAAATCTAGGTTGCCAGGGGCAGAGCTTTATTATAGCTTTTTTCAATCCGGGAATCAAGAAACGATGTCATGATTTTGAATTAAATTACTTAGCCTTAAAATTGTAATCAATGACGTATATTTGCAATAATTTTTTCCTAGATT